GAACTTAGCAATCCTAAGTCAAGGATTGCCAGATAAAATCCTGTTGACTTTGAATTTAGCCATTGATTTAACCACTATCAACATTATAGATATACGTCTAATTATAGCCAGTTCATACTTATACTAAAATGTTATTTGCTCTTCACCTAACATTGAAATTTAACTGCACATATGTGAAACATATTTATATGAAAAATGATTCATTGTATATCCGGAATTCAATTTAACTGAGTGTCATGTATTTTTATTTGCTAAATGTGACAATCCTAGTAAAAGGCCCTCCTTTGTTTTGTTTTATTTTACTTCCTTTTCCCTTGCCCTTCATTTTCCATTTCCTCCTCTATTCTTCCCCATTGCAAGCACCTGAATTGATTTTATTTACTATAAGTCCATCCGATTTACCTTTCATTTATTTACTTTGATATATACATACATTTGAAACTGTATCATATTATGTTTTTAAATTCACACAAATGAAATTGTACTATAAAGCTCATTCTGTTCTTACTCGTTTCCTCAACACTTTCTTCTTGAAATCCATTCTTGTTGCTACGTGCAAATCTGGATCATTAGCTCCGAATTCTATATAATATTTCACTGAGTGAATAGATCATGTTTTACCTACAGTCTCTCAATGGTAGACACCTAGGCAGCTTCTACCTCCAGGTTCTGCAAACAAGTTCTGGGTCATCTCGTATACACATTTGATGGGTGTCAATTCAGTCTTGTAATTATTTGCATTTCTCTGGTTATGTTACAGACATGAGTGAGAGAGGAGGGGCGCATTCTTAGGAATGGAGTAGTTGGTTCATAGGGTATTCACATGTGTGAAATTCAAAATATTTAATAACCATCAAGAGGCAGGCACTGCCCACTCAGAACTAGCACTGCCCATTAGCCATATTGGTACCCACAAACTGAATAACTGCCTTGCATATCTATAAATATAGTTTCATTCATGCCACTAGAGTTGCTCAGGAACTGCTCTGCCAGTATACATTCCCAAGACGATGCATGAACACCTTCCTTTTTTCCACATGTTGTCACCATTTGAAACTATAACTTTTAATTTTTGCTAATTTGATAGGTGTTGAGTCACTCTCACCATTGTACTTATTTGTATTTGTCTGGTTATTAGCAAGGCTGAACGTTTCTTCGTATATTTTTTAGCCATTTGGGTTTCCCTTTCCTTCCATAAATTGCCTGTTCGTATCTTTTGTCCATTTTTCTGTTGGGTTTCCCCTCTTTTTTCCTGCAGCTACATAGACGTTCTTGTGTAGTCTAGAATAATGCTGTTTAATAGAAATATAATGTGAGTCCCACATGTAATAAAAATTTTTTAACAGCTGCATTAAGAAGGTAAGAGAAAGAGGTAAAATTAACTTTGACAATGTATTTTATTTAATCCAATATAGCAAAAATAATATTATTTCAACATGTAATCAATAAAAAATTATGGAGCTATATTACATTCCCTTGTGTATGCTAAGTCTTTGAAATCTCATATGTATTTTACACTAAAAGCATATTTTAACTTGTACTAGACATACACAAAGTGCTCAATAACCACATGTGGCTAGTGGTATATTGAACCGTGCAGGCCTATAATCCAGATTCTACATAATAATCCCATATTTGTTTAGGTGGAATATATCTTCTTCTGGTCCACCCAACTGTTAACTTTGTTTATGGTAAAAAAAAATGTTAATTTATATGTAGCTAAGTCCACTATTTTTTTTCCTAAAATTTATGTTTCAGTCTATACCCATGCCTAAGTGTCCAAGATACAATCTTACACTGTTCTTTTATTAGCTTTATAGTTTTTATCTTTTGTAGATAGGTCTCAAGTCCATTGGAGAATTTTTTTTTCATATTGTAGGAAGTAGAGATTCAACTTTTTTAATAGAGTGAGCTGGTTTCCCCAATGCCATCTACTAAATAATGTCTTTTCTCCACTTACTTGTGAAGCCACTTCTACCATATGTCAACATCCCATATATACAGTCTGTTTCTGAGCTTTCTATTCTGATACTTAATCATCACCATAATCCTTGGGGGGAGGGGGTTATATGATAATTAAATTGCAGAGAATTTGGGTAAATGCACCAAAGTCACTAAATAGCAACTGTTGAGGTTACAATTTGAACCTGGGTATATCTGATTCTGTGCCAGTTAGGATTGTATTTGGCTCCATGTAACAGAAGCCAGACTGCAGTGGCTAGAAGAGATTTATTTTTCTCATTTACCAGGAATTCTGGAGATCGACTATCCACTAGAGGTATAGTAGCTCCATGAAGCCTCCAAGGATCCAGGAGCCTTCCGTCTTTTTGATCAGCCGTATTAACATGTAGCTTTTTGGGTCTGGTCAAGGACATTGCGCAGGTAATTCTCTCCTCTCTTTCCTACAATATCATTCTTTTGCTCTCTTCTGGATCATTTCTAGCAGCATAAAAACATCTATTTTTTTTTTCACCTTAAAGAAAACAAACTTATCTTGACTCTACTTCCCCAGCCAGTTGCCATCCTGTTTGTTTACTCTTCCTTGAACAAAATTCTTTGAAAGAGTCATCTATAGTCTCTGTCCTGGTTTCTTTTCTCTTATTCTCCCCCCACCCCCACCCCCGCCACCCTCACATTTTATTACAAAAATTTTAAAAATACTGTACAGTTGAAAGAAGTTTATGGTGAACACCTGTATATCCACTACCTGGATTCTACCATCAATATTCTATTATACTTGCTTTATCACATATCTAACTATCTATCCATGACTCTATTCATCCATCAATCCATCTAATTTTTAAACATTTCAAAGTAAATATTAGCTATTTACTACTGTAGCTATCAGTACAGTTCCTATAAATACTTTAGGATGATATTATTACTTAATGTAGAATATTTGTTTATAATTTTTTTCTTTTGTGGCAAAATGTACATCCAACGTTTGTCCATATTTTAGGTATGCACTCCTCTTTCAAACCTGCTTGAATCAAGCTTTCATTTTCACCATTCTCCCAGTGACCTCTTTGTTGCTAAATCCAATGGGGAATCTCTAGTTTTTAATTTACCCATCCAACACAAGCAGCATCCCTCCCTCTCATTTAACTTTCAGAACGCTATCTTTTTCTCTTATCTCACTAGTCACTTCTGTATTGATCTTCCTTATCTCCCTGATCGATTCCTGTGGGAGGATCCCAGGGCTCAGGCTTTGGTCCTCCATCTGTACCCACGTCCTTGGGAATCTCATCCATCTCATGGAACCTGATCCATCACCCAGATGCTGACAGCTCGCAGAGAGAGAAGCAAACTTGTCCTAGATCACCCAGCCAGGACCACAATCTCACAGTCTCAATGCTCAACACCAAGGGGTTAAACCTCATTGGGTGCCAGACACTTTACATACCTTTCTTGTTTAACTTTTAAGAATGATATGTGCACAGAATTTAGATACTCTTCATTCCATGGCACTAGTAACTGTCTATAAAGGTAGGATTGAGAGATAAAATTCAGGACAGCCAGTTGAATTTGAACTTCACATAAACACTAATTAATACTTATACTAAAAAATTATTCATCACTTACTTGCATTTTTATTTGCTAGATCTTACAATCTTGCCTGACTCCAAAGCCCTTAGAGTACGTTTAGCCATAGAGCATGGAAAGATTTTGATATTAGGTTCACTTCCTAATTTGGCCACTTACAGACTCTATGATCTTGATAAGTTTTATAACCCCTCTGAGCTACCAAGAGGTATAGTAAGAATTAATTGAAGAAAATAGGAAAAAAGCTTCCAGGACAGTACTCGACAGGTAGTTGACACACAAAAATTGGCAATTATTATTATTATTTGCTAAGAATAACGCTTTTTCTCAGGCCCTTGTCTTGGTCCCAAAAGCATAAATGTGAATCTTGGAAGAGTAAGTTGGACATGTGTGTTTGACTTGCACAACCTAAGCACACACTTCACCCTATCACCCACTACAGCCAGACATATTCAAACCGATAAGCAGAATGTGGGTTTTGGCACATGTGGCAGGCATTGCTAGATGCCTACCAAAAGTAGATCTAGGAACAACTGAACAACCCTAGTGATTTTTCCTGTGATTAGGGACAAGGCTGAGGCAAGGCTACAAACCTGGACTTCACTCTGCGATGGAAATGAAGCTTCTCAAGATCTCTGTGTAGAGGAGGGCAGCTTGATTGCTAGTGAGATGACCTCATGCTACTTTTATGAAAGAGAAAAGAAAAATCAAGGTCGATGGAGAGAAGAGAGAGAGAAGGCAGATGGAACTCTTTTCCAGAGAAAATGCTAACGCTCAAGGATTGCCAGAGGTGGCCATGAACTTGCTGTCCAGTGTGGTTCAGAGGAAAACACAAAAGCATAAGAGCAGGTCTGGAGGAGAACACAGAACTGACAGAGAGGCTACCTCTGTAGAGGGGATGGAATTAGGGCCATGGAGGGGGTGGTAAAGGTGGTCAGGGAGAAGTTAGACTTACTTGTAGTGCATTAAATTTCAGGATGGGTATATATTCATGCGATGCTTATATAATTAAAATTAATGTTTAATAGAGAAAAGACGTGAGATTTGGAGTTGTAAGTTCTGGACTTAAGACTTGCCTTTTCTATTTGGAGACATTCAGACATCATTTATAGAGCAACTATTATATGCCAAAGAGTATGCCAGGCACCAACGGTACAAATAAAAATGTCCTAAAATTTACGATCATAACTTAACTTGTCTGAATCTCAACTTACTTGTCTCTACAATGGGTATGATGATTTCTACTTCATGGAGTTGTCAAGACTATTAAATGAAAGTATAGAAATATGCTTCTGTTCATAAAACACTGCACAAGTATACTATACAAGAAGTCAAGTAATTATAATAAAAGACCATGGAATTGTAGTTGGGGAAAGTGGCATGAGGACATTAAGGGATGAGGGGCCATGAAACAGTGAAAGGGGCACCGGAGGTTCCAGGGTCTGTCAGAGTTTGGATACTAAAGAGAGTGAGCTAGAAAGACAGGGCTAGGTAGAGAATCGGATGCATGAAATTGATATCGTGGCTTATTGGTAAAAACAAAACATGGTCAGAGGAGTGAGAGGCTGAGGTTGGGTAGAGGTCAAGATCACTGGAGGAGGGATGATCAAGGAACTGAGAGGCCTGAGGCTTGGAAGGATCAGCCACCCATATATTGCAAACATCACGAATTTAGATCAGAGTCAGGAAAAAACACAACAGTGAGCCAGGATCCCAGATCACTGGGAAGCGAGGAGGAATGATTCAGAAGTCAGCTGGAAACAGGGACAATGAGGGGCAGCAGAGTGTTAAATCTGATGACAGGAGGTTCGAAGCTAAGGGAATGGAGAAAGAAGGGTTTGTACGCAGCGATAAGCAGCAAGGAGGACCCCGGCCCCAGCTCCAGGCCCAGCAGTACAAGGGCCGTGGGAGGAAATACAGCCACCACTCGAGAGGACAGCAGGAACAGCAGTGACCTGAAGGGGAGCCAGGTTCCTGTTAGAGCACGCGGGTAAAAGAAACTTCCAGAAAAGAAGTCGAGATATGGAGATTTTTTGCCAATAACTGACCATGAACTCGAGAGAGCACAGTGGCAGTTTTTCGGAGACGGGGAGGGGTGAGAGAAAGGGATCGAATAGGGCATGATAGAGCCTTTTGGAGATTTAGCGAGCCCAAGGCGAGGGGTGACCTGGGAATCTGGAGTCCTGGTGGTTACTGGCAACACCGGAGTAAAGGACCTCATGAGATGAGTCCTGGGGCTCCAGGCAGACGGTGGCGGTGAGGAGCTAGTGTGGGGTGTAGGAAAGGCTGGGCGTTTGGTGCTTTCTCTTTGCCCCTGAGGGCACATGTTCATGCCTTGTGGGCAAAAGAGGAATCTCACTCAGCGCTTGTTCAAGAGCCAGACGCCCTCGGATTGCGTCCTGGTTGCCCCTTACTTGCCGTGTAATTCCATTTAACCTTTCTGTGACTTACTTTTCTCACCATAAAGTAGAAATAATATCTATCTCCTAGGTGTGTTGTGAGGACTAAATGACTAATCCATGAAAGCATTCAACGAATGTTAGCTCTTGTGAGAGCCACATGGTCAAGCCTTACCTAAAGCCAAACCATCTCTGGACTTCTCAGTCGCATGAGCCAAGAAATGCCCTTTTCGTGGCCTAGGCTAGCTCGAGATGAGTTTTCTGACTCATAATCAAAAGATTCATGGCACAGACACTCTTTTGATCTCCATTAGGTAGATGAGGAAACTAAGAATCGGAGAAGTTAAGTTAGTTGCTCAAAGACGCACAGCTCAGATCTGAACACAGGTCTGTCGGACCTGCCAGTCTGCTCGAACACAGCCTTCTCAACACCGATTCAAAGCCCAAATACCCATGACCCTCTACTATTTCTAGTCAAGTGTCTTCCCTCCAGCGAGACTCTGCAAAGGTCAGCACTGGACATTTTTGGAGAAAGAGGGGCTGGTTTGACAGCCTCCTGACCTTAGGCTAATCACCCTGTGGCATAATTTAATGGGTCACAGGTCATGTTTGGGAGGACCATTTTCACATGGTCCAGTGGTCCAGATCTCAGGTCTGTGCTCCCTGAAACGTGGTGAGCAGTGGACAGGAAAGAGGTGTTCTCACATAGGTACATGCTGTCTCCAAGCCTCCAGCATCCAGGACGGCATGAGTCAGAGGAGACGAGAGCCCAGGGGTTTGATTTTGAGAGAGGGATGCCAGGCTACACGCCCACACTCTCCACCCCGACCTCTGCCTTCTGTCTTATATTTACCAATTCTTTCTCTATTATCCTTTCTTCATTTCGTTTTTTCTCTTTTTCCTATATCTCCTCTTTCCACAAATATTTTGGAATCATTTGCAAAAAATATATACAAGCGATATATAAGTATAAAGATCAAATAGCAGACATCAGGACTAGGTAAACCATAAACTAGGGTGACAAGTATAGACTAAGAGAATGGTGATGGACTGCAGCACGATATACCAAATGTGGCATTTCATAGTTGCTATGGTCGAGCTTCCTGGTAGCCAAAGCAAAAATGGGCGACAGTTAATTATGTGGCTAGGACTATATAAATAATGTGCACAGACGCAATCCGCAATCTGCCTTCAGAAGAAACAAAGCTTTTTCCAGCACTTAGCTCTCCATCAAAACTTTTCACATATGTATGCAGGTGACGCTGTGTACCTTTAGTGTCCTCTGAATAAAGCCAACAAAATAGCACCCACATACAAGCCTTGAGAGCCTTTAGAAAGCAGAGTCAAATGTAAGTTTTTAATGTTTTAACTTGATCCAATAGCATTTCTCAAACTCTTAGAACCCCAGAGTTATATGCGGCATTAATAACTTCTGTAAAAAAAAAAAAAAAAAAAAAGGGGTTCAATAGGCAGATAAACACGAGATAGAAATCAGAATTAAACAAAATCGAGAGGTTTTTTTAATTACAGATTACCAAGAGCTTTTAACACTACAGCCCCTGTGACTCTCTAAGCTCAATGGGACCCTCCTCTCCATCCGCCCCCAATTTTTTCAAGCTAGAGACCATATTTAAGATGTGTGGACCAAAGTTTGAAAACTGCTGATCTAGAGGAATGTCTGAGTTAAATCCCTCCAAATAGAAGTTGTCTCAAACAGGCATTTTGTAGAGTTGGCCCTCTGATGTTAAGGCAATGGCGTCTGACATGGCCAGGACTTCGGGGCTTCTGATACTCTTGTGATGAAATAAGAAAGCCTCTTCCTCCAACTCCTCTTTCCTAGGACTCACATCCTTAGTCCAAACAACTAGAGGACATGGAAAAGAGATTACAGAGGGTGAAAATGAGAACCTCTCACAAGCTGTGAGATGCTCCATCTCCATCAAGTTGAGGCCTGGTTCACACCCCTGGGGGCCTGGGCCAAATGCCAAGGTAGGGTTCCCTGTGCCCACTGGCTTAGCCGCATGGACCTGAAGGAGCAGTTAAGAGAATGGAGTCTCAAAGACATGCTAGATGTGTCCCAGGAGATGATCAGAAGTAGGTCGAGGAAGAGTTCCAAGTGGAAATCTGAATTAGAACTGGCCAAAGAGGGACAGGGAAGTCACTTTAGAGGCTGCAGTGGCAAATGGGTCTAGACCCTAGAATCATTCCAAATTCAAAAAAATATGGCCTCCCTTAGGGATTCATTATCTGGTTTCTATGACCTCAGGAGTAGATGCACTTTGATAAATCTAAGTCAGATGAAAGTGGTTTCATCTACTGCTCATCAGCCGATAGTTCCAAACTTCACGGCTTAAATCAGGTTAATAAACAACTCGGCAGAGATCCAAGTCTGAGACCTAAACTACCAGATGCTCCTCAACTAAAAAGGCAGACAGAGAAGATAATGCACAGATTGCAACTTTACAAAGGCAATATATGAAAAGCACATGTCCAAGGATGCTCATCTCAGGACCATTAATAATGGTGGAAAATGGAAAAAAAACTCAACATTATACTCTTGGGATTAACTAAAATATGGTACATTCGTATGACAAAACACCACACAACCTTCAGGAATGATTTGAAGTATATTTATTAATATGCAAAACAGATGTATGATAAACTATTGAGTAAAAACACACATTACCAAAACATAAATAGCAGAGTCCTATCTTCATGGAAGAAAACACGTTTGCATAAATATACACCGAAAGAAGTCTAAAGGGACATATCAGAATCAGAACTGGTTCTCTGTGGGCTCTGAGATTGTGATTACTGGTGTTTTTTTCTTATGTTCACCAGTAATTCCTTTTTTCCTTGTTTTATAATAAGCATGGATTTTTTTTTTTTTTTACATAATTATTTTTAAAAAGCAGAAAAAGAAAACCAAGTGCAGTTTCCGGTTGCTGCCTGAGGCACTCACATTCTCTCTTGCATCATCTCCTCCTCTCCATACTTGATCTTCATTAGCCTGTTTTCATTTTGGTTCCAAATCCCCTTCCTCTGTCTCCCCCACCAATCCATCTTCAGACACACAGATGCTTCGAGGGGGATGGAGGCTTAGCCAGCTGGGTTCTGAGAAGCACAGAGGCAGGAATTCTGGAATAGGAGTCTGAGCTACGACACCAGCCAGCCTGCGGGGGAGAGAGGGTGATGGGGTGTTTGGCTGCCACACGGCTCTCTGTGGCCACTACATGTGGAGTGAGGGTGGGTTGGTCAAGATCAGAGGCCAGATGTGAATCTGATAGTTCAATGCCATGACGTCACTGCTCCTCACTCCTTCCAATGAACTTCATATGGGGCCTAAAACTCAGATCAGACCTGTCTTTGCAGGGCGTGGGTCTGTGCTTATCTGCATGGTGAGATTTCCCAGGTGGTTCATCTCAAGAGAACTGTCTCTGGTTTCCCCACCTGCAGCTGAAATTCTAACCCCACTTCAGGCTGTGACTCTCAAACTCTTTATCACCCCTGGGGTATTTAAAGTCACAGGATGGAAGAAATTGCACTTCGAAGGGGAAAAACATGTTTTTCTGAGAACTAATGGGTTCATATTTCTACGGCAATTCAGAAAATAGATATGTTTTATTTGGAGATTTGGAAGGACTCTAAGTTTTCAAATTCTGATATTACAGTGAGCACAAATATAACACAGAGTAGAATGAGAAAGCTAAACGAACTTAACATTTTAAGTCTCCAGAGACATTTTACACTTCCCCTGGGAGAGATCTGCTTCAGGCGATGCTCCAGATCGTGCCCACCACATGCACTTCTCTTTAAGAAGCACTGGCGGAACAGATCACCAAAGTGTTTTATCTCCAAGTCCCTAGAAGAGATCAATTACATCGAGGTCAATTACAAAGCAAAGTGCATAAATTACTGAGCCAACCCTGAGCAGGTTTGGATGGACGTAGGGGGTTAAGTAATCTCCCATAATTTCCTACAGTGTTATTGTCTCCATGTTATCAAATTTAAAAACTGAGCCTCAATGAAGTGGAAATGACTCGCCTAAGGTCACCCAGCTAGTAAAGTGACAGGAACTAGATTTCCAACTATAAAGTCAGTGCAGATGATAGTTAAGCAGAGGCAACTTTAAGAAACAAAGTGGTTCCCAAACCAAGATTGTAGGATGGGGACAACATGAAGGAACACACTGTTAAAAACCGTCATTTCTCAGGGAATGGAACTTTCTTCAAAGGAACTCTCATGTTCTACTTTTTATAGTTCAGTAACATTGAGTGGTTATAACCAATATATTTTTCTTAATGCTGGTTGCCCAACAACATCGAAAGGTTATTCTTTAGGTACTAACCCCAATAACTTCTCTTGATCTGATTTCACCCTCACTCAGCTACCTTCTTAATTCCCATAGAGCTGGCTAGCAGAGAGAGAGAGGACTCTGGCCCAGGTGACATCACTGTCATCCACCTGAATTTCTGTTCCTCATTATAAATGAATGCAGCTCAACAAATTTTTTCTCCTCTTCTCAACAATTCCCAGGGTCCAGCAAACAGAAAGGAGCATTATATATGCAAGTCAGAGCCGTGAAAAGAAACAGAATCCTCTTTAGCATAGTAACACACAAGCATTAGTCCACTCTTGGCCATGTACAGCCTAATTGTCAGTTCAATGTTTGACCCTGTCTCAGACAGCAAGTAAAGGCTTCTTATCTATTTCTGTGTTACTGTTTCTCTTGCAAGAAGCAGAAATCCAACTCGTGCTGGCTTAAGAATAAAAATTAGGGTGGATTTTGTAGCTTAATATAACTTAAAAAGCCAAAAATAGAGCTCCAACTTCAGGCACGATTGGATACAGGCATTTGATTAATGTCATCAGGCCTTTTTCTGACTCTTTTCTCAACTTTCTGTTGTGCTGACCTTACTCTCAGGCAAATTCTTTGCACACAGCTGTCCTTGCCTCTCCAGAGTTCTTTTTTCTAGTTTGGAACCAAGCAGTAGAGAAATTTCTCATTAGTTCCATCAGAAGTCCCAGAAGTGAATCTCATTGGCTTGGCTTAGATCACTTGCCTATGTCTGAATACACTGATTGGTCTGCCCTAAATCATATCACCTCTCCCTTCTACAGAGCTGGGAACCACACAGAACGACTGGGGAGCAGTGGATGTCCAAAGGGAAAATAGGTCACTATAGAAGTAAAAACTTGAGATGGGGAGGAAACAGATGCCCAACACTAGATCTGAGGCCCCCTTCAGCTTGATCTGGGGGAAAAACAGAATGGAAAAAAATAACTCATTGTCAAGCTGAAGGCTGACGAGAAGAGACATGATAGTCAGGGTAGGGGCGGGGAATCAGATTTCAGGACAGAGGAACTCAGGGGAGGGTGGAGCAGGAGGGCAGTGCCTGCCCCTGAGAGCTGAATCAGGAGACCTAGACTCTGCGTGGATCTGAACAGGTGACATGAGCAGGATCATGTCCGAGGGAGTGGATTGTGCCACCCCACCCTCTGACGTTCAGGGCGAGGTATTGTGCCATGATGCTTATATATCTGTCGTTTTCACATGAGTCCTGTTAGCAATGACCTCTACATCAACTGACAAGATTAAGTTCCTGGACCCAAGAAGCTGAGAACTCGACCTTGGACGCTGGTAGATTTTTACAAGGTCCTACCCCATGGAAGGCCACTTGGCGGGCAGCCAGCAGGCCTGCCTTGACCACACCCTGCCTTTGCTTTGAGGCCCCCAGTGCTGTCCTTACAGTGCTGTGCCAGGTTTTTGTGAGACCACAGATAAGAACCCTGGCACGGGGCTTCCTCAGAGGGGGCCAAACAAATGGCAGCTGTTCTTATTACTGTTGGATGCGCATGTGACTAGCACACAACTAACGATACCTATTATTAGGTATGCGAAGCTCACAAAGGGTACCAATAAGATGCTTGAGAATCGGTAACTGTTAATACAACTAACTGTTGTAAATTCAGAGGAACCTACTGCAGTAGCTGATGCTAATTACTACTCAGAATACTTTCCCATCGCTTCTCTCTTTGTCACCAGGCCACCCGCTTGCAAATGTGCTCAAAGCACAAACTTGTTTCCCCACTGATCCTGGCTTGGCTTGGCTTAGATCACATGCCTATGTCTGAATACACTGATTGGTCTGCCCTAAATCATATCATCTCTCCCTTCTACAGAGCTGGGAACCACACAGAACGACTGGGGAGCAGGTTTTATCTGAGCCCCCCACCCCCGTGGTTGTCTTTCTCAAAGTGAGGTCCCCCAGTCTAACCTGTGTTAGAAACGTGATGGTATTCGTTAACTAGGCAGATTCTTAGATCCCATCCAAGCTTGCTAAATCTCAGTCTCTGGATTTGGGGCCGAAGGACCTGAATTTTAAAAGGCTCCGGGGGTGGTGAAAATTCTAATGCACCCCAAAGCTCACAAGGGAGGCACCTGCCCCAACAGGAAAATCCTGATTTGCTCGTAGGCCCCGCCCACGTTGGCCCTTCTATCAGGTAATTCAAAGTCTGCAGGCCTGTGGGTTACTGATTAACCCTAGGTTTCCAGAAGAGAAATAATAATGACTAAAGGGACAACATAAGCCCAGAGACAAACTGAGCAGACCTGAGAAAGTGGTGCCAGATGGCTGTTGTCACCACACATCTGACAAGAAGGAAAAGAAGGCTTGATACGCCCAGCCTAAGTTCAGACTACATCCAGGTGCCAGCGACACCAGCCGATACTCCTTGTCATTGCCAAGGCCCTGAGCTGCCACGTCCTGCTGACTCCCATGCCCAGAATGGCCTGCACTGAGGTCCCACAGCAGCCCCAGCCCACCTCTGCAGGAGCCACCACCACCGACACCGCAATCCCTGCTGGGGGTCGTTGCAGATCCCTGGACGGTGACCTGGACGGTGACCTGGACGGTGATCTGGAGTGCCTGGTGTGCCGGGAGCCCTACAGCAGTGCCCGATTTCCCAAGCTGCTGAGCTGCCAGCATGCCTTCTGCGCTGTCTGCCTGAAGCTCCTGCTGTGCATGCAGGATGGCACCTGGTCCATCATCTGCCCACTGTGCCGCAAGGCCACCGCTGTCCCTGGGGGCCTCATCTGCAGCCTGTGTGACCAGGAGGCTGTGGTGAGGCGGTTAGCCCGGCCATGCCCAGAGGTGCGGCTCTGTCCTCAGGAGCTGGCGAATCCTGCCAACTTGACAGCAGGGCACCCCGGCTTGTCAGGAGAGGATGAGCAGGATGTGGCAAGTGCCAGCCTCGTGGCAGCCCGGCGCCTGGTGGCACACCTGCTCCTACTGGTCTTGCTCATCATCCTCATCCTGCCCTTCATCCACCCCGGCGTCATCCAGTGGGCGCTCACCTTTATCATCATCCTGACCCTGCTGATGTCCACCCTCTTCTGCTGTCACCCCAGCAGCCAGAGCAGCTGCCGGCCCTCCCCCAGGACTGTCTTCTGCAGAGAGCAGAAACGTAGTGAGATCTCTTCCATCGCTTGAGTACGCCCCGACCAGGCACCTGCAGTACCTTCTATCTCTGCGGCCCCATTGCTCTCAGAGTGAGCAGGGTAAAGGGTTATGAAGTAACCCTTGGGAGATAAAATGTTAGCTAGACTTGCAAGCCAAAGCCAGAATGGCTGTCTTGAGTCAAGAACTATATGCTTGGACAATAGACTTATGCCGGACCAGGATACGGCCCAGCTAAACTGTTGGGGTGGGAAGGAGGCACAAATGACTTGAATGCTATAAGACGGGGGTCGATGGGGCACGGTCTTCTTATTCCAATGTTCCTGGGTTTTCTTTCTAGACCTTGATGAAAGGTATTGCGATACTGACACTATTCAAGAACAATTTTTTCTTTTTTGCAATTTATGTCGCAGGTCTTATTTTCTTGCTTGGTTTTGGTTTGTTTTTGTGTGTGTGTTCGGAGCAGTTTGTTCATAGTTCTGGTTGTGACACATTTTCCCTCCCGGGAAGTCAGAGCCCACCGGAAGTCCTCCTGTTCTCCACCCAAAGCGGCCCATCTCGTGCCCATCGCAACTCACTCAAAGTTCTGGCGGTTTGGGTCTCCTGTCGAGTCACCCCCCAGGAACAGAGGGAGAGAACTTGTGCAGAGGGGTGGTACATCTGATGCTGCCGGGAGCCCCCACATTTAGTTGGCAGAGCTGGGAAGGGGCAGAAGGGATGTAGGTAAGGCTGGGGATTTCCCCCAGCATCCCCACCAGCATGTCCCCGCTCTGTGTCATCAGGCCCTGACTTAACAGAGAATCTCAGAGTTGTAAGGGCTTCCTCCCCACAGAGGGCCCATCTGCCCATGACATAGTCCCACGTTCCAAAACCAGACTTTATGGGTGCTGCTTTCTCTATTACTGCACCTCGATTCCCACTTGAGCTTCTGTCATAAAGATAGGAGGCCCCGTAAATGCAGTGGTCCACTCCAACAAGCCCACTTTTCCCACCTCTCCTCAAGAGTCACGGGCATCTGAAAGGCTTTTGTGTCTCTTCTCCACCATTTCTGCTCTGTAACATAGAGGAGGCTTCTGCTGGAGGAAATGACCTTCCATGGTCACCCAGGTCAGGCCCCAGCCAGGGGGACCCATGGGCTGCAGGGGAGTGGAGGGTGGGAGATAACACGTCATTTTCTTCCAAAGGCCGCATAATTGGAAAGCAGACATGAAACCTCAGAGAGGCTCACTGAGCACATTGTCCTTCCCTGCACCCCGCTTTCATCCTGGAAGGATGACAGTTGCAGGTCAGAGACGTTCACAGCAACTGTACCCTTGCCAGGGAAGGACGAGAGGACTCTGCCCCTGAAGCACAGGGGGCCGACCCCAGCCCAGCAGCTGTGTGCTGTTGAACAAAGTCTTGAGATCCATTTTTTCCGAAATGAGCTCATAGGACTAGATTACTCTTTAGATCCCTGAAGCCCAGGAGTTAGAAGTTGAGGACACTGCAGGGTCCCCGAACAATGGACACTGGTCAATTTGTCCTCACGCAAAGAAAAATTAAAAATATAAGTATGGATGCAATTAGCTGTTCTTGAAATCTGGGCATCTTCCTTTTTTTCTCATAAGGCTCTCCAGGCTGACTCCGTGACAGCCATGCTGTTGGTCTTACTGATCTCGGTGCTGAGAGAGAATGTGTGGGTGTGTGGGGGTGTGCGTGTGCCACGGCCAAGTGGGCCTGAAGAACACCTTGTCTCCCCACGAGCAGTGAATGACAAGAATTGCTTGGCATTTCCTGAGCTGGCCTCGGGCATGTGCACTTTGGGATGGTTGCCAGTAGGACAGGGAGAGAACGTTTTCCCCCCACTCACCACCACTCCCATGCCATCTAGTTCTCGGACCCTCCACCAAGAAGAAAACCTTCACCAAGATTTCACTTGTTAATGACACCATTTCTACCATAATAACGGTGGGTGTGTGTTAATGACACCATTTCTACCATAATAACGGAGGGCTTATATGCACCAAAACTGCTTTAAATGCGTTATCTAGCTGAATCTTCTCTACCATAATAACGGTGGGTGTGTGTTTATTGAGGGCTTATATGCGCCCAGCCACGCAAAACTGCTTTAAATGCGTTATCTAGCTGAATCTTCGTAACAACCCATGCAATCGAGATCACGTTGTTGATGAGAAAACTGAGGATCAGAGAGGGAAATTCATCTGCCTCAGACTACGCAGTCGGCCACCTTCAGAGCACCCTGAGAAATTAATCCAGGGCCTTTTCTGCTCAACTACGTTGAATCCTTTGGGTGCAGCTTCAAAACAACCAGAGAGCTGGTTGCCACTTGTAGGCTTGTGAAGGAAAACAGGAAACCGACCTCAGGAGTCTCCAGATTCAGTGGTCAGGTACTCAGAGAGGCCAGAAAATTCTAGAACCTGTTGTCTATGCTAGAGAGAAAGAAAAGAAAATGATAAAAATGGAATGGCTTTCCACTCAGTACCAGCCTCTCTACATGGTAGCTGTATTGGCACATGGTCGCCAAACAGCATGTCCTCCATCCTCCTGGGCAAAGAAGTCCTGACACTGCTGTCACCACATCCTTGAAGTCCAGCTGGTCTCAACCACCTCTGGCCCCTGGCAGGATAGGAACAGAGAGCGCCGGAGGCCAATATCAACCCAGGCTGCCCTGGAAGGGAGCAGATGAAACCAGCAGTGTTGCAAAAAGATGTGAATGGAAGAAACCAGAGAGGCAGGCCGAGGTTCAAAGCTAAGCTCTGACCCAGTGTGTGACCAGTAAAAGTTACAGATCTTCTCTGAGCCTTAGTATGCTTACCTGTAAAGTGAGAGAGAACATCACATACCTCTCAGAGTCTCCGTGATGCTTCAAAGTGCTCCTGGAAGAGAATCTTTTGTTCTAATGGGCCGTCTTTATCATCAACCATTGAACCTCCCCCCACCGCCCACCCAGTGAATGAGTTTCTTGGGGCCTGATGATAGCAAGCAGGGGGCTGGCCTTGACGATGGGTGTAAAAGCCAGCCAGAGTGGGAGCATTGTCCAGGAGGGGCCAATATGGTGGAGAACTTTGTACTTAGGTCCTAAGGATGGAGAGGAATTGTGGGGATGGGGAAAGAGGGTGCGAATTTCATCCCATCAGACCCACCTGTGGTCTTAGAGTCAGACAGACACACCTGGCTTAAACTCTAGCTTCAGCACTTACAAGTCACCTCGCCTCTCTGAGTTTCAAGTTCCTTACCCATGAAACAGAGCTTATAAGCCACATTTTATAGGGTTGCTGGGGGAATTAGTGAAATCACCCATGGCTTACCACTTAGGATCGTAGGAGGTAAAGCAGGGAAATGAGAAGGCAAGGAGAGAGAGAAAGGTGAGTTAAGTGCTTGAAGGTCCTAACAGTAATAACAGACTCATTTTATCCAATCTTATTGATAAGGAAGTTTATTAAAACCTGGCCACTAAAATTCACCTCCCCCATTATCAGCCTCAGCATCAGCAGTGCCCTCAGCAACAACATAATAAAACAATAATTGATAACATGATTTGAATGCACTGTGCAAAGTGTATTACATATATTATCACATATGCTATAAGGCAGGTATCCCGTCCCCAACTCCTGGGCCCCAGTACCGGTCCGTGGCCTGTTAGGAACCGGGCCATATAGCAGGAGGTGAGCGACGGGCAGGCAAGCAAAGCTTCATCTTATTTGCAGCCACTCTCCAGAGCTAGCATCACTGCCTCAGCTCCACCTCAGATCATCAGGCATTGGATTCTCATAGGAGAATCTAGGTGCCAAAAAGGTTGGGGACCGCTGCTAAAAGGGAGGTCTTTCTGTTATCCCCAAATTACCAGGAGGGATGCTGAGGCACTGAGAAGTTAAGTAACTTTTTCCCAGATCACACAGTGAGGCCATGGTGGGGCTTAGACTGCAGAAGTCCAACTCCAGAGTAAGCACTTTGAGTCACTTTACTCTATCAGACGAAACATTCCTGGCACATTGTAAGCACTTGAGGTGTGTGGGCCCCCTGGCCTCAAGGGTGAAGAATTAAGAAGACATGGCATTCTCCCCTTTGGTTACAGCTTCCTGACTTAGCAGGTGTCTGGGGCGGAGGGGTGTGGGAGCCCACCTTTCCCATGTCCCATTGCCATGTTCTCATCTCACCTTCTAGTCCCTGTTCGCTGTTGGAACCTCTTTTCAAATGACTAGAAGTTTTTCAGCCTTTACTGGAACAACTAATTCTTTGTCTGTGGTGAGAAAAGCATTTCCAGGAATGAAGGATGTTTCTGCAATTTCTCAGGCTATGGGAACAGCACAGAGCACATTCAAAACGAAATCAGGTCCCAGATCTTGAACCTGCCTGGAGCTATTCCTATGAACTTTATATGCTTATCGGAGGATCCTGAAATCACTTCTTTAAAAGGAGGACTATTTGGGGGTCAGTAGAGAACTCTCTAAGAATTCAGAACACCATGGAATCTAGGATCCCTCCATGCATTTATTCTACAAATATTTATTGAGGGTCTGCTCTGTTCCAGGTACTGACCAGGGTATTTAATCTTATTTGACAAGGAACTTTGATGAGGAAGGAAAACTAATATATGTAAAGCACCTGTTATGAGTTGAACTGTGTCCCCTTCCACAAAAGAAGATAGGATGAAGCCCCCGTTACCTTAGGATGGGACCTCATTTGGAAATAGGTTTTACAGAAATAATTGAGTTAAAATGAGGTCATTAGGGTGGGCGCCGTTCCAATATGTTTGTGTCCTTATAAAAAGGGGGAAATCGGACGCAGAGACAGACACACGTAGAAGGAAGACAGTGAGAAGACACGCAAGGAGGATGCCATGCGAAGATGAAGGCAGAGACCAGGTGCTGTAGCAGAAGTCATGGAATGCCAAAGATGCCCAGCAAGCAACCAGAAGCTGGGAGAGAGGCATGAAATAGATTCTCCTACAGAACTCTCTGCATGAACCTGCCGACACCTTGGTCTTGGACTTGCAGCCTCCAGAACTAGGTGAGACAATAACTTAGTGTTGT